ATTCATTTCTTGAAGGATCCTTGTGGAAATATCACCAATTATTAATTAAAATATCCTCTTTTTAATGTAACAAGCCGTTTTGAAAAATCGCTTTTGGTTTTTGAGCAATAAATTTTTGAAATGATCGACAATTTTTTCGAATTTTGCAATTTTCGCCGATTAAGTTTTGAAAATTCGTATAAAATACAGTTCTTGGAATATGAGTATGAAAATTTCCCAAAGTGTTAATAAAAGTGCCCTCTTTCCAATGAACCAACCTATTTTGAAAAATAACTTTTAGTTTTTGAGAAAACAATATTTGAAGTTTTGCTAAAATTTTCAATGTTGCAATTTTTATCGATAATTTTTAAAATTCGCTATAAAATTCATTTCTTGAAGGATCTTTGTGGAAATATCACCAATTATTAATTAAAATATCCTCTTTTTAATGCAACAAGCCGTTTTGAAAAATCACTTTCAGTTTTTGAGAAATAAATTATATCCAGCTTTTTGCAAAATCATATACCTAGACTCTTCAAAAACCAGTCTTTTAACTGCACTCTTTCAAAATGGAAATAGATTCAGTATAATCAATTTTCATTTAAACTATGTTGTAATTTCAAAGCCATTGCTTTGCTTTTTGGATTGCAACTGGGTTTTACAATGTATTGTTGCTTTTTATTTAAGTGAGACAGCAGAGATCGAAACAATCACTACCGCAAGAAAGACAGGCCAAAGCGCGAGTGCCTCACTCCTGAGAATAAAAATTTTTCACACCCTCCTCTTCCAGAGCCCATTAGAGCACTTCTGCCACTACTACATATAAAACTAGCTGTGATAAAAAATTTTGTCAAAGCCATGGATCGCAACGGTTCAGGTTTTGAGAACCTAGAAGACGTTAGGGAGTAGAAAGCTTTCATCAGGATATTTCCAGCATGAAAAAACAATACCAAGGCAAATGGAGCCCTCGTATGTTGGGAAATTTTTGTTGGACGCTTGCAAAACACCAGCCTTAAGCGAAATACTCCATAAAATCATAATTTTTTGTTTTAAAAAACATATTTTCAAATCACAAAAGAAATATGGGTGCCAAAATTTGTCTACACCTATTTTCCACCTTAGGGAGTCTAAATAAAGTCAAAAATGCCAAAAAGAATGCATGCGACAAATTACAAGTTCATTTTTGTCAATCAGTGTAATCAATTAGTACCTGAAAATCAAAAATTTTTTGCCCAAATTGTTTCCGTTCAAATAAATAAGGAATCGTTGCATCAAAACATCCTTGAGCTATCCCTAATTGTTGCGCGGCAATTCCAATTCTTCCCCGATTTAATAATGAAATTGCGTATTTATAACCTTTCCCGACTTCCCCTAAAACATTCGTTTGGGGGACACGAACGTTATCGAAGGTTAAGGTGCAAGTTCCGGAACAACGGAGCCCCAATTTTTTTTCTGGCCGATTTATTGTAAATCCGGGGGTGTTTCTATCCACGATAAAACAAGTTATTCCTTTATAACCCTACAAATAATTCAATTAAATTAATATTTTAATCATTAAAAAGAATTTTACCGAAGCCGGATTAGCGTTGGCAAAAACAATAAAGAACTCAGCTATATCGGATGATGAAATCCACATTTTCGTGCCGTTTATAACATAATCATTTCCATCTTTTTTCGCGGTTGTTTTTAACGCGAAAGCGTCCGAGCCGGAGCCGGATTCCGTTAAAGCGAAACTAGAAACCATGTTTGTGGCTAATTTTGTTAAATATTTATCTTTTTGTTCTTTGCTTCCATATAATTGAAGCATCGCTGTTACTAAAGTGTTATGTACTTCGACTAAAATTGTTACACCAGGATCGACTTTTGAAATTTCTTCGATAACTTGAATCGTTGACATAAAATTAGCTCCGGATCCGCCATATTCCGGAGATATTTCTAATCCCATTAACTAAAATGCGTAATTTTGATTAAATGTATCAAATAAATAATTTTTTTTTACTCCGTTATTGAATAAAGCCTCGACGAGTGATGGTCGTAGTTTTCCAGCTTCTTCCATTTCACGTACGTATGGTGCAATTTGTTCTTTTGCAAATTTTGCAACTAAATCAGAAAGTTATTTCAATATAATATAAATGTATTAAATTTAATGTTTTTACTACCGGTGTCTTTCATTGCTTGTTCTTCTTCGGTTAAAAAAGTTATAGGAAGATGTTGATTAGATGTTGATTCAAATCTTACATTTTTCCATTTATTTACTTGAAATAACGATTTCTACAAGAATGTTTGGTATAAAGTTTCGAAGTGGCGTCACTTTTTGTGTTTGTTCTAGTTTTAAACTGTCACTAGAACTAACACAAGATCTAGAACTAGAATCATTCGGGTTTAGCCGTCTTGAGGGACGTGGGACTAAATCCGAATGTTTCTAGTTCTTGCATTTATCTCAATAAACCAAAAAATTCGAACTTTCAACTTTTAATTTTGACATATTTGTCAACTTCATAAAAAAACCTTTAAAATGAGTCCAAACTCGACATATTTAACTTTAATATTAATGGAGATACAATCACTTCCGGAATGAAACGTCAACGTCAATTTTGACATATTTGTCATCTTCATTAAAAAACTTTTAAAATGAGTCCAAAGACAACGCACTTATCTCAAAAAACAAAAAAGATAGAATAAAAAACATCAAACCCGAAGTTAGCAACAATGAAGATAGCAATTTAATTTTTAAATATTAATATCAACCTTAATTTTTTATTTTCTTTTATTATATTTTTGTTTTTGTGACAAATATTATGACATTTTATAAAAATTAAGAATATGTCAAAATG